AATTTTACGGCGAACACCCAAAATTTCCGGGGATTCTTTTCTGTGTGAGTGCGCTAAAGTCACCTCTGCCTGAATTCCTGAAAGAAAAAGTTGGTTTGAAATGCTGCAATATGAAATGATCTACTGATTTGAATCACCTTCTTGTTTGCTACTGAAAATTGAAGTGAATCTGGGAACTACCAACCCCAATCTCCCTCTCCAAAAAGTGGCCATAGGCTAAAATAATGACAAACGAGCACCGAATGGAGACACACAGTGGACCTTTCCATTAGATCATGATAGACGATATAACAAACTAGCGTCCGGCACCGGTCTGGTTTCTACTGCATTCAATTAAGCACACGACGAACCGTGTTGTTAATTTACAATCAAAGTTAATTGAATAAATTCATAGTTCACGAGCCAAAATTCAAAACGAGCCACAATGATGATGCCCAAACTCATTAGCACGAATAAAAAAAAAATTCAATTTCTGCGGTTGTTGGCACGAGCTTCCAAATCAATTAACAACGCACAATTCGTTTCATATCAAAGTTTTTTTGGTGAAATTTTTTTGACAGATAACCAAAAAAAAAACGCCACGCTATGTCTAAATTCAAATTAAACTGAGCTCAGTTCGCTTTGATGCTTAACAATTCCAAATGTATTAGTAGAAGTAGTATTAGAAGTACACAAGTATACAATTTGATAATGTTTTCGTGTTTTGCATATCGTTCTGAGCGTTTAGACAATTATACATAATTTTAAAGTTCTGAATCTACTATTTCCATGTCAATCATTGTCATTCGAATTTTCACTCAATACTTGAAGTTGTTTTGACAATGCAAGCAATAAGTTGTTTTGATTTGGTTCATTTGTCATTTGGTTAAAAGTTTTTGGTTTTTACAAACATTTGTCTCACTTCATTTAAGTGAACAATGAAATGCCCCATAATTTGTCCACGCTGATTTATAACTAATTTTCAACGTAAACATCGGCGCGTGTGTAGAAATATTTATCTTTAAATGAGAGTAAAAAACAAATGCCTGTAAATGTGGAAGCCATGTCAAAATTTTGTTTGACTTTTAGTACAGAAAAAAAACTCCGCTTTAATTTTAACAATTCAAAACCATTGAACACATTTTATTGAGAAAAAAAATTAACAAATATAGTAAACAATTTACTAAAAATTGTTTATTCGCAATAAACAATACTGCATGCATGCTTGTTATTACGAGATGTGCTTATTACAGGTGTTGCTCTCTGATTTTGTATTAGAAATAGAATCTCTTCTGAAGATTCTAAAGTACTCTGTTATTAGTACAATTATCAGTAGACTTCAATTTAGTTTATCCTAACTAACAATTTCTCCCCGACTTTGTATATCAATAGAATGTCTTATGAAAGTAACGAGTCATTGACAACGACCCAATTGAACAGTGTGACTACCTTTGTTGTTGATAATGATTTTTTTTTGCTCAATACGAACAGCGGATGGATTGCTTCGGATTGGGAACTGTGATTGAACCTAGAAGATTGAAAAAAGTCTCAATTTGGACAATAATGAAATGTTTTTAAAGGGGATATAGAGAATCTGCTTGAGGAGAGATGTTGCAATAAGACAAATCAAAAAAAGACCAATAAAAACACTCACCATGAAATACCTCTTCCGCAAAACAAATTGAATGCCCATAAAATGGTAAAAATAAATGAAATACCAGTAAAGACTGCAATCGAATCCAATACACCAGAGTAAGTGATCAGTATAGCTGCAGATTGAATTCAATTGATCGAACCGGAAATTCATTTGAATTCAAGAAATGATTTTCAATTAAATGAGCGTTTATTAATTTAAAAAAAAGTGATAAGTCACTTAAAGTCAGAAGGCTGAGTACAATAATACCTGACCGCTGCATTTTATTTGAATTCTGCTGTTTAAATTGCAAACGTGACCTTTCACAACGGATTTTCTGCGATCTGTTTTTAATAAATCAATTGCGTTAGACATTTATGGCTTTTTCGTAACAAATACCTCGCTTGTATAGGGTAAAAAAAATAATTATTTCAAATCCAAAATTGATTACTTCTAGTAAGCACTTTCCATCCACGCGTATACGAGTCGCTTGCCGTTCAATATCAGCACCTAATCGTCTAAGTTTCTCTTCGATTCGTTCATATCCACGATCGATGTGATGAATTTGTTCGATGGTCGTTTCACCATGAGCAATACACGCTGCGATGACTAAAGCTGCACTTGCTCTCAAATCGGTTGCCGTCACATTTGACCCAGACAAATATTTTGTCTCTGTGCAAATTGCTGAATTTTTCTCCAGTTCAACCTGTGCTCCCATACGAGCCAGCTCGTGTACATGCATGAAACGATTTTCAAAGATATTTTCAGTGATGATGCCCGTGCCAAGTGCAACAATGTTCAGCAGAGTAAATTGAGCCTGGAGATCTGTTGGGAAGCCTGGATGAGGCTCTGTGCTGATATCAACCGATTTTAGTTGCTTTCCTTGCATGTCCAAAGCAATCCAGTTATCACTGACTTCAATTTCAGCTCCGGCTTCACGAATTTTTGCCAACACCACGGTTAAGTTCTCCGCTCGAGTGCCTCGGCACACAATTTTTCCTCCACTTACCGCTGCTGCTACTAAAAATGTACCAGTTTCAATGCGATCGGGCATAACACGATAAACACCGCCATTCAAGCGTTCAACTCCTTCAATAATGACCTTATCGCGTCCAGCTCCAGTGATCTTAGCACCGATCGAATTCAAAAAATTAACCATATCAACAATTTCCGGTTCACAGGCGGCATTTTCGATAGTTGTGACACCAATAGCTAATGTTGCTGCTGTTATCACTGTCACTGTGGCACCAACGCTCACTTTTTCCATTGGAATATGCGCACCATGTAAACGACCATTCACGGAAGCCTTGATAAAACCGTCTTCAAGGTGAATTTCAGCACCGAGTTTTTTTAGACCGGAAATATGCAAATCGATTGGACGGGCACCGATTGCACAACCACCCGGAAGAGCCACTTGAGCTTGACCGAATCTTGCCAGAAGAGGTGCTAACATCCAAATCGAAGCGCGCATCATTTTCACCAAATCGAAAGGCGCAGAAAATTTGGTGATTTGAGAACAATCGATGAATACGGAGCCACTTTGTCTTTTTATGCTCGCTCCCAATTGAGACAGAAGCTTCGCAGTGATGGTTATATCATTCAATTGTGGAACATTTTGTAATTCTACTGGTTTTTCCGTCAGAATCGCAGCGAATAAAATTGGCAAAGCCGCATTTTTCGCACCGGATATTTGCACTTCACCACTTAAACGAGCCGGACCTCGTACGATAAATTTGGACATTTTTGTTTCACTGATTTCGAATTTTTGTATGGTGATTTCAGTTAAATTCAGATTTTTTTTTTTTCGTTTTGTTTTGGGTCAATTTCGATTTTTTCGGTTTAATTTTTTTTATGGCGATTTTTTTCCTTTGATTTTTATTGTTGTTGATTTGTATTTTGTCCAATTCTGATAGTAGTCTTCGATTCTAATCTCATATTTCGTAGAATTTTGCAATAGAAAAATTATGAGCAAATGTTTTTGATTCCACTTTTAATTGAACTTGAATTTCATACACAAATCGATTCATATTAGTTTGATTTTACTTCAACTTCATTGACACATGGCTTAAGACTGTACCTTGCTCTTCACAATGCAGAAACTAACTAAGGTAAATATCATACATTATCGACATAAACTCGATTAAATATCGAGCTGTTATTTTGTTCACTCAACCATTTGTTCATACGAAGTTCGTATTACCAACTTTTACCTATATAATTAAGTTTTATTGGTATAACAATGTAACAAATATTTGAAAAATGCTGATTTTAATTGATTTTTTTCCTTCCTTCTTTCAGTTATTCTTCTTCTTTCTTCATCGATTTTTTCTTGCGTTGCTTCTTTTATTAAATACGTATTACATGATTTTTTTTTAAATTTTTGAACGCAAATACGACGATTATATCGTTGTTAGATAGTTTTGGAATCCGAAGTCAATGTTATTTAGGATTTTGTTTCCATTAGCGTTTATTCAATTCGATTTAGTCAATTTGACTCACAAAACATTCGTATTTTCGATAATAACTAGGAGTCCATTAGAAATTTCTGACTAAAATTTAAATGTTCGATTTTTGATAGTTCGAGTGGTGATAATGTTGCAAATTAAAAGTGTTATTTTTTAGTTAGATGATGTCGCGAAGTGACTAAAACCTGTATCACCTGTGCAAATTGATCCGAAAATACTCTGAGAAAAGTTTTTTTTCCTTGAAATTCTTCTGAAGTTTCAACTTTTTCCTTGAATTTTTCTTCTATTTTAAAAGTTTAATGGAAAAGTCGAGCTTTGACCATTTCCTTGTGAGTCAATTATAATAGAATAAAATGTTATATCAAATGTTTTGATCTTTGATACTTCATAGCCTGAACTATACGTCTGACATCGACAAGTTACTAAATTTAACTAACGATACACATGTATCTGATCTTCTATCTATCACATGCTCCTATGAACCTTCTATTGAGATTTACAGAGTAAATTTCAAGAAAAAATTCACACTAATAAAATCACTATGCTGTAGTTATGATCACACTGATTTTCGTTCAGAAATGAGTGTGACCCATACATTTGTGAGCGACAATGAGTGTGGCATATATTTAGAGTGTGTAGTTTATGTATGTAACACTCGTTGACGCTCACAAATGTATGGGCCACGCTAGGGGGATTTAACTACGTGAAAACTTGTAAAAAAATGATATAAACGCGCACGAAATTGTTACATTCACCAGAGAACTTGCATGATTCCACTCAGTTGACAAGTTCCGTATTAAAACAACATGCGCGAACGCGCGCGAGTTCGTGTGCAAACTTGTAGCTGGACGACGCGCACACATCAGTCGTTCCATTTATTATATCTGGATTAACTTTTTCTTCAACACTTTCTCCAGCTCTTTAAAAATATTTCCTTTGTCCATTTTATAATTATAAAAATCTTTGAACTTTTGGAAAGGATGTGAAAAATCTTTATACACGTAAACAACCGATTTTTAGCTTGAAACGCGTTTTAATTGTCAAATAACAACTTGAAAAACGCGCAAAACTATAAACAAACTTGTGTAAACTTGTGACCGTGCGCGTCAGTACGTACAAGGAACGCGTCGAACTCCCGCGAATCAAGCAAACTGGCAAAAAACATGCTGAACTCGTAAGAGTTAAATTCCCCTAGGGGCCACGCTGAATTTTGTCGTGTGCAATCAGTGTGTGCAATGTGCATTGTGTACACACTCCAATTCGATTTCCTGGCACGTTAGAGCAAACGAGTTTACAATATTGTTTGAAAGAGAGCGAGCGATAAACACACAAAATTGATACTGAAATTGCTTTGCACTCGACGTCGAGATCTTAGTGTCTAGTGTCCACTCTCTGTATGGTAACCGAACGTGAATTTCGCTACTGAATTGCCACCATAAACCATTAATAAATCTGAAAATCTACTGAATCTGTCGGAGCGCTTCTGAATGCTTCTGAATAGCTTCCAAAATGAACGAACCTACTGAAAATGAGTAATGGTCCACGGTCGGTCGGGTTTTCCTCGAAACTGATAAGAGATAACTGATAACTGTCCGGAGCGAAGTTGTAAAGCGCTATAAATTTGCTAAAGATGCTAGGTCATTATCTCTTATCAGTTCCGCTAAAAACAAGGTAAACCACCAAAATCGGTGTACACCAAATTTCGCGGTTTTTCGCGGAAGTGATAAAAGATAAAGAATTGACGTCTTCACAGTTTTTATAATGCTTGAAATTTCCAACACCTTTGCTCCATACAGCTGTCACTTTATTAACATATTAATAATTTATAAATTTTTTAATAAAATGAATTTTTTATTAACGTTAATAAATATGGTGTTTCAAAATTTTTATTAATTATTAAAATATGTTGTTTATTAATATATTAATAAAATACCGATTTTTGACAGCTGTATTGCCCCAGACAGTTTCCAGTTATCTCTTATTCAGCGAATAACGCGAAAAACCGCGCTGTTATCAAATTTATGTTCAATTTATCCTATTTATTATTCCTATTGAATGAACCGGCAGTTTGAATTTCTAGAAAAGCGGCGAACAATGTTCAATTCACATTTTGTTTTCGCTGAATTCCTGACCATTGACATAATTGCTTTTTTTACTGACTTTCTGTGAAAAACTTCTCCTAAAAAGTTGAAAAGCAGGAAAAAACGACAACAAATTCGTTTCAAAAATTGTGTTTATTAATGTCAAAAGGCTTTGATTATTATCACAGAAGCTTCTAAAATAAATTTTCGATTGTTTCGAATGATTTTAATTTTTGAACCGCCAAACGATGGTAATCAGATGAATCGATCCATTTTCGTTTGTATTTTCTATGCAAATGTCATACAGGGTATTGCAACGACCATAAAATATATGTATTTCATCAAGTTTATCAAGCTCTTTCCAAGTTTATGCATAGTGTCGAACTTTTGTTCAAGCTCTACCATCTAAATGTACAGTAAAATAATTTACGGGCATTAGATGGCGTTTTTTCTGGTCAAAAAAGTTGCAATATCCTTTTGGCAAATGTCTACGATTGAAAAGAAGAAAATTATTAAGAACTATCCCGAGATTACGCCTCTAATTGATTATATCTATCATCTGTGTCAACTGTCAGCGACAAAGCTTCGGTTATCACAGCCAATTCCACTCTTCTTATTGTTCTGTTCATCAATTCCTTTGATCGATACTGGTCTGGTTGGCATATTGCTGTTGTTTTTCGCCGATCCAATTTGACTTAAGTCTAATTTTGGAATTTTTCGATCGGTCAATTTCTTGGAATTGTCTGAAAAGTGCATTTCAATGTCTTCTAGCGTTCGATTTTCCGTTTCTGGCAGAATTTTGTACATTAAAATCAATCCAAAGGCAATGATGATGCAATTGAACAAAGCCACTCCGGGCATTGACAACGTTGTTTCTAAGCTGTAGAACGTTTTCGCACCTATAAAACTTAGCACATAGCTCAACGCTGCTGTTAATCCTGTCGCTGTTCCGCGAGTTTTGTACGGAAACACTTCCGAAATCATTTGCCATGCCATTGAATTGATGCCGCAGAATATGCAAAAACTAGATAAAATTATGCACACAAAAGGAATGTATCCAAGATTACTATTCTCCAGTGGAAAATTGGGCGATAGATCTGGGAAAGAGCTGTATCCGATTGGCAGAACCATAAAACCATAGCCACAAATGACGGCCGCGCTCAAGAACAGTATCGATAGTATCGTTAAGTACAAATATCGTTTGCCAGTGAATCGAATTAGACACAAGAAAGAAATATTGCCCAGGTTATTCACATAGCTTAAAACAGCAGCAGCTTCATCTGGTTCCATTGGTATGTTGTATGCTTTTAGAATCTGTACGATGTACGTTGACATTGAAAATGTTGTGGAGAATACACTGATGCAAAAGAGCGCCATCACAATGGAAAAGGGCTTAAGAGTTTGCTTTCGTTTCAATTCCTTGAGCTTTTCGGCTAACGTCGGCAGCGGATGAATACACTTTTGGTCTTTTTTGATGCACGACTCACACGATTTGTAACGCTCACTGTATCGCTGAAGCGACTGAAGCTCTTCTGCTACAGATTCTTTTGGCACCCAACCTCGGAGCCAACAGAGCGCCTTTTCAGCTTGAGCCGTCTTGTTCTTTGATAAAAGCCACAATGGTGTTTCTGGTACCTAATTAGGAGAGGAGTTTTATTACAAATCGATTCGAAAATATGGATCTTTCTGTGGTTTTATTGAACCAATAGCATGAAAATAATTGAAAAAAAACTTACGAAACAAAGTGCGATCGTAGTGAAGATTGGCGTGAACATGCAGACCAAACCAACCATACGCCATGGCATCATTATGTTCAACGTAGCGACTAAAATTGCACCGAGCGAATATCCAAAGTGCGTGTACGCGATCATCACGCCTCGAAATGTCGGCTCGCTGGAAGAAAATCAAGTTCAAAATCAATTTTTTTTTCGACAAAAAAGCTTCTTTGGAGTCACAATACATTCACAAAGAGGAATAAGGTTGTCAGAATCACCAACATGAAGTTGTAAACGAGCGAATTCCAACCAGGGTTGGACATTTCGCAAAATTTTCTGCATTCAGTTATAAGGTGATATGTGGAGAAAATTTTGCGAAATGTCCAACCCCGGTTTGAATTCGCTCGTTTACAACTTCATGTTGGTGATTCTGACAACCTCATTTCGCTCAGTGCTCATTCGCAGAAAAAATTCAAGGGAAAAGTCCCAAAGCTTACGAAATTTCTCCAACGTATGTGATTATTGGAGATTCCATAAGGCCAGCGCCCAGCCCTAACAGTACGATAGCCAAGAAAATCTGCCAAACACTACTCGCGCTGTACATGAGAAACCAAGCAACCACCAGCGGAATGTTGACAACCATCATTGCTACCTACAGGTGGGCGAATCATGATCAATTGATCACTACTTAATCATTTGTCGGCATGATCCATTCCATTGATCGTGATCAAGTGATTAATAGATCACTTGATCGCGATCAATGGATGATGAATGCAAACATGTGTTTTAAGATTGCTGAGCATCTCAGCATTTCGTGAGGCACGGATATATCTGCTGCACGTAGCAACACACGCCACTGTATTATACAGTATGCGTCGTCGATATGCTCGGATATATCCGTGCCTTACGAAATGCTGAGATGCTCAGCAATCTTAAAACACATGTTTGGATGAATGAGCAATTGGGCAAATGATCTTAATCACTTGATCCGCCCACGCGTATTATTACCTTACGACCCAGCGCATCTGTGTATATGAAAGAATTGAAGAATTAAAGAATTTTTTAAACGATTTTTGTGATTATGAAAGACTTCTGATTGCCGTTAGATTTTCCACATTTCAAATATTCTCTATTAAAAAGATGATTTAATGGCATTTAATAGGAGAGTTTTGGAGGGTAATTAGAAGCCAAAATAGAACTAATGTGTTTATTAAACCATTCAAAAGCCATAACACTTTGAAAAATTTGAAAAAATATAACACAAAAAAAAACCCAGCTATTAGCTCGAGCCATTAGCAATTTAAACATTCGTTCTTTATGAGTTGATTTAAATGCAAATAAAAAAGTCAACTCATCAACCATTATTGACACTTCTTCAAATCGATATCATTAGAAAAAGTATTAATACTCACCCGTGATCAGTGCTGACAATAGACTTCCAATCGGTTCAGAAATATACCCGATGCTTGCTATAAATAACACAGCAAAAGCAAGTTAACAACCAAACTTTTTATAGAACAGAAACGTTATTTGTTTTCCAAACGAATCGTTTAAAATGAACAGCTTCGAATGATTGAATCAATCATTTATTGATTGTATCGAGACAATATCAAATAAATGGATGATGCAATAACATAAATCAATGCAAATCGATTTCATTACCCAGCCACGACGCTTCGATGGGAGTAAGTGACAGGGTTTCGTTCAGATTGTGCTTGTTCGGAAATCCAGTTAGAGCTGCTATGATGATAAATGGAAACGAATGACACAGACCCATGTCAAACAACAACAAATTCTCAACGGTTGTAGCGCAGAACTTGAATGAGAAAATGGAAAAATAGAGGAATTCGAAATTTTTGGAGAAATTCAAAGCCATTTGAGGAGGAAAAGAGCCGATCTTTCATTTGTTTCATACAAATTTATCTCTAAATCAAAACCAAAATCAGTCTCTTACCTGCGCTAAAAATCGCCGGAACTTGTCAACTTTTTCTCTGCCATCCCGCTCACATCGTTTCTCGTTACTTTTTTCTGTCGTTGACATCGTGCAGCCAAACAATAAATCTGGCACAAAACTGGTTTATAAGATTTTTTAAGATCAGAAATAATTATATGAATTCAGCGCATCCACGTGTGTCAAGGTGATTTATTTGAAAACAGCTAATGTTCGGTTTGCGTGAGTATTCAGCGGTCGGCGTTATGACAATGACTCTTCTCTAACTCGGTCACTTTTTTCCTATTATTCTCTTTTTGCACGTTCACAATTGTTATTTATCTCCGACAACATTTTCGTTCATTGCATTTGTATGCTGACGTTCTATTTTTAATTGCAAACGAATCACGGTTATTAAATCAGAATGGAAATTGTGGTAACAATTTTAATAAAACGAATTGTTCCGACTTTATTTATGATGTACAGAACACTTTGTTCACATTGCGAACAAAGAGCTTGTCAAGAATAAAATGTGAAAACAATTTGAAAGAGACAGCTCGATTCTGATGAATTGGAATGCGACGAAGAATTCGAAATATTCCATTAATTGAATCAATAACCATTCGAATAACACTTTCGAAGAGGCATAATGAACTTGTGATATTTATGGAACGATTTTCAAGTCAACAAATCAAGTTGATACTACTTGTAATTGATTAACAATAAAATATTTCCAAATCGGTTTTTGCTCAATTTTTGACACATTTTATGTTTAAACACACTTTTTCAATTGGATTTTGATATTTTCGCCGCATTTCATCATCATTTTTGCGAGAAAAATTACACAATCCCAATAAAAATGCGAATTTTGAACGATAAAATCAAATTAACGGCGTTTTTTCTCTAGTGAATTTCTTTTCAAGTTAACAGACAGGCACTTGAAAACTTAGACTAGACTAACTTAAAAGTTGATTTTGGAGAAAATCGAATTAAAAATCATTTAATGTAATATCAAAAGTCGCGTGAGAAAAATTAAATAAAATTTCGATGAACAGGTATGCTCTTTGGATGGAACTAATAAACACTTTAACCGGAATGACTCTTTCAAATATCTGATTTGAATGTTTGCTTGCTACATCCGTTTCAACTTTTTGCTCCACATTTTCGTCGTTTATTTAAATTGTTGTTTTGATTGAAATATGATTTTTTTTTTCATTCATCATCGATGATGATTGAAAATAATGTTTGAGATTTTCATTCAGACTTTCAGATCAAATGTCAAAAGTCCACATTTTCCGTCCAAATTTTTATTAATTTATTTGGTGTATTTACCATGCAAACTCACGCACAACTAAAACAAAATAAACCGTCAACACACTCGAGTGTGTTGAAATCTTAACTGCGAAAAACCTTCACAAAATCTGATTTTGCAAACCAGATGAATGTTCATTCAACGGACACCGAAGCACAACTAAATTCGTAATTCAAATGTCAATGCTGTTGTGTTCGTAAATTTTTCCACTCGATTGTCTCTCGTTAGGCCGTTTTTTTTTGCACTCATGAAATAGCATTGCTTCGATTTGATTGAGTGTTCAACATATTGATGGATTGTTCAGTGATTTAATAAAAGTAAATTAGCCTCACTTTGCGTGGTTCGCGACTGATTTTTAACCCATCGAATGGCTTCACTCTTATATACAACTTTTAGTTTGAGCAGAAGAACCGATAAATTTAAAGAAAGAAGTCTTCAATACAATTAAAAAAAAAATTTTTTTTAAGCATTTTGACTGAAAAAAAACCTCTTTTTATTAAAAAGAAAAAAATTTAAATGACAAAAGTTAACAATCAAATTGTAATTAGAAACAAAAAAAAAATAATGAAGAAACTTGTTTCATTTTCAGCGTCGCTGTTCGTCTATCTTTCAAGGGTAGCGAATAAGACACCAGATTAAACCCGATGATTCAATCCAATGCCTAATTTAAGCTGCAGTTATTATCTTTTTTTGCAGTTGTGATTTGAAAAATTCAGTTGTGATTATTCACTGAAATATCAATTTTCAGTAGCGCCGAAAAAAGAATCGCTGTTAATGATTAAATGATGAAATATGCATGAAAATGTCAGGAGATACTTTTTTGGCGATTGTACAATTCGTTTTCGTTTTGTTTACATAATTTGGGTGCTGGCAATTCTGGTAATATGTTTATATTTCAAATGCGGTTAATAATTTTCGATATTAAGAAACGCTTGTTTACTGTTTGCCATTAAGCGGTTTCTTGATATTGGATGCGATAGACATGAACAATAAAAATGTATTTTGATAAATAATAAAAGAAAAAAATCCAAAAAAAAAATGTAAAATCTGTGTAGTTTTTACTTTTTTCATTATTAATGGAAAATTTTCTGCCGCTCAAAAAAAAAAATGCAGTTATGATTTTTCCTTAAATTAGGCATTGATTCAATCTTAAAACTTGTTCTTTCAACAACAACAAAAAATGGCAATAAATGTTCATTCAAAAAATACAATAATTTTTTTTCTATAAAATGATTTCTTTGTTGAAGTCAAATTCTGGTCTTCCGAGTATTTTTCGGTTGATTGACGTTAATTACGGCAATGATGCCATAAATGTGCAAAGCTTTAACATGATCATTGCAAGATCGTGATAAAAAGACTTGACCAAAAAATTCAAACAATAACAAAACCATTACAAAATTTGCTCAAATAGAAGCGAAAGATATGAGCAAATAATGAAAGCGAAAGCCAAAAAAATGCAAATAAATATGAAGGCTAAATCGATGTAAAATTGAAAAGGTTAACGTATGAATAAATAACACGCCATTACTGCTAAATGAATATGCATGACGCTGTGCGAATGGAGAACAGCGACGAGACGGAAATTTGCCCATGTTCGTATGAATACACTTAGCAGCAATTGAGATCAAAAATGAATATTTATTGAGAAGTAATGATCCGTTGAGTTGATCTGAGTTAAAAAAGATCCGTGGCAGTTTACAATCCATTGAATGGGATTCTATTCGATCGATTGGTGAACATATCTCAAAAGCCTTAATTGATATGAATGGCACACGATAAACAGCAAACAGCTGTTCGTGTGTTGGGATTACAATAAGCAAAACTTAATGAACATTGTTGATACGAAACAGGTTGTATGGAACCGCGTACGCAATTTGGTTGTGGCACGTTGGCATTGATAATAATGACAGGCAATGCTGTTCAATCGAACACAATTGAATTGGGACAAGACAGCAAGATTGAGTGGTGGGAAGATAGAAGACGCGGAAGAGAAGATATGAAATAACAAAACAGGAGAAATATCTCTCAATGAGATATTCTCTCGTTCATATGAATTAGAAGCGGTTAGAGAATCCAAATTTAGACAGAAGAAGCGAGAGGGAAGAATCAAACAGAAAAAATGCGCGAAAGAAAGAAGCGAGAGGTAATATAAAATATTCTTTGGAACATGTGTTTATGCAAAGTTTGCATTTCATTTAAACCATTTCCATCAAGAATACCAACAGTTCATCACGAACATTCGTTCGAGTAGTAATTCTTTGATTTCGTTGATATAATGAAACGATATCGAAAGTGAAAACTTATCCGCATTGTGGCAGTAGACAACAATTTTTTTGAACTCGGTGTAAGATTTCAATATTAAAAAGAAACTCCGAACATTTTTATCGAATAAAACATACAAAATTTTATCAAATGACTTCGTGGTCAATCCACCAAAAAAAGGAGTGACATACCACCAAATCTATATTCAAACATTAAATTTCGGAAAAAAAATCCAATAAATAAAACCATAATCAACTGTCAGCGACAAAGCTTCGGTTATCACAGCCAATTCCACTCTTCTTATTGTTCTGTTCATCAATTCCTTTGATCGATACTGGTCTGGTTGGCATATTGCTGTTGTTTTTCGCCGATCCAATTTGACTTAAGTCTAATTTTGGAATTTTTCGATCGGTCAATTTCTTGGAATTGTCTGAAAAGTGCATTTCAATGTCTTCTAGCGTTCGATTTTCCGTTTCTGGCAGAATTTTGTACATTAAAATCAATCCAAAGGCAATGATGATGCAATTGAACAAAGCCACTCCGGGCATTGACAACGTTGTTTCTAAGCTGTAGAACGTTTTCGCACCAATGAAACGCAGCACATAGTACAAGGCTGCCGTTATTCCGGTCGCTATTCCGCGAGTTCTGACATGATAGTTCAGGTTTTAATTTGAAAGTAATTTCACTGCGGAATGGATTGAATTTTGATTTGATTTATGAATTGATTTTTGTAATGCAAATTCATTAGTTTCAATCAAAAACCCAGTCAAATCTGCTCAGTAGGCGAGATTTCAAATTTTTGTTTTTAAAAACTTTACTCACTTGTACGGGAAAACCTCCGAAATCATTTGCCATCCCATTGAATCGATGCCGCAGAAATTGCAAAAACTAGATAAAATTATGCACACAAAAGGAATGTATCCAAGATCACTATTCTCCAGTGGAAAATTGGGCGATAGATCTGGGAACGAGCTGTATCCGATTGGCAGAACCATAAAACCATAGCCACAAATGACGGCCGCGCTCAAGAATACTACCGACAGCATCGTTAAGTACAAATATCGTCTGCCAGTGAATCGAATTAGACACAAGAAAGAAATAGTGCCCAGGATATTCACATAGCTTAAAACAGCAGCAGCTTCATCTGGTTCCATTGGTATTTTGTATGCTTTTAGAATCTGTACGATGTACGTTGACATTGAAAATGTTGTGGAGAATACACTGATGCAAAACAGCGCCATCACAATGGAAAAAGGCTTAAGAGTTTGCTTTCGTTTCAATTCCTTGAGCTTTTCGGCTAA